GAATAGAGGGAAAGCAGCTAGAAAGGGGCTCCATTTGATTAGAAAGCAGCGGAAAAGAAAACACTGCACACACCATGATGCCAGGACATGCTAGAAACCCACACGTGAGTCAGATGCCATTTTGTCATTTGCTTTTCCTCGTTGCTTCTGCCTGCTTCCATCCCTCTCCCTCCCCCGTTTGTAATGTTTAGGGTGCAGCTATAGTCTTGTGATACCTCTTAGCAGGGATGATGAGTGTGTGAGCTGGAAACATGGTGGGTTTCTCAGTATCTTGATGTGGACACTTAGTCAGAATGGTATTAGTGATGTGACTTCTGGGTTTTATTTTTATGTGGAGTAGATGACAAACACAGAGGCTGGTGGGACAGATGGACAGTGCCCTCGAATCCCTCTAGTACATAGTAGGACAAGTGTGAGAGTAATGAAGATTTCCCAAAAGGCCTGGCACTGCCTTAAACTATGCCATATGCCATTGTAACCTCATTTTTGGAGGACGCGTGGGAGTTGGCCCTGAAGATGTTGTGTAGACATCTATTGGCTATAGAGCACAGACACTGTACTGTCTGAGACCTTGTTCATGTCATACCATGAGAGTAAAATCTTTGAGTAAGTCATTATAATTCAGGGTTCTTCTGCATGAAGAACCTATACTCATATATGTCAGGTTAAGATTACTGCACGTTTTTATTGAAAGTTTGTGGTCTGTAAGATTTTCTGGGTAAAAAAAACAGCTTCCACAAAAACGGTTTTCAACATTATTGATGGCTGCTGAAAATTCTGTTTTGCCATCACAGGAGTAAATTACATTATAAAATATATTAAAATAGAAAACAGTTAAATGAATTTGTAATAATATTTCCTAACATCAGTGTTTTTAAATTTTTAAATCATAAAATGCAGCCTTTGATGAAAGATTATTTTAAAAAATATGAAATTTTTTTTACAACCTTAAACTTTTCAAAGGTACACTACGTTGTTTTGAACTGACCTTGGCAACAAACATAGATTTGTTGTGAAGCACACACAAGACACTGAAAATGTTCATTCATTCTTTTGCTTCGTTTCATTCATTCGTTTGTCGGTATGTTCATTTGGTCCAGTTTAACCAGTTTGTGTTTTCTACCTTGATAAAATTACTGTGACATGTATCTTACCGCTGTACCGACTAGGCTATACATTTCTCAGTGGCACATGATATTGAGTTATGAATGTACAGCGCATTTAACATACTGTAATGATTTACATATGATTTAGACTTCTATTATAAATATTTCTGAATTAAAATGAATGAAGTATTTTTTGGGGATATGATGTCAAGCTGGTGTAACCAACCTAAGATTCAAATGAAGAATAAAAAGGCTAAAATCTTATAAAAGAGCTATATTAAGGAGTTTGTCATAATTTCTTTTTATATTAATAGTAGTATTTAGTAATTAAGTTGTAATGAACAGTGATGAAGCAGTAATGAAGCTGTTGCATTTTCAAATATTTAAATATTTAATCTAATATTTAAAATACTTTGCTTGTTAAATCAGAGGAAGTGTGGTTTGACCAACATGAAAAAAGACATTGAAAATTATTTACATTAAAAAATCTATTGATTCGGATATGTACCCATGTTCTAAGAGCATGAAACCTCTAAGACATCCCTATTATTCTTTACAGTACCAGTTCATTAATGGTTCAGCTTTCTGGTGCAACTGGTTTGTCAGGGCATTTAGTTGTGACTATTTACATTTGACATGACCCAATTTTCCAGTCATCTTTGGCTTTGTGACAGAAGACGACTCAAACAACAAACTTGAACATATTTGCATTGGCCCCAAGACACACCCTTGTGGCATTCCTCCATGTTTGGGATAGTTTTCTTTTGAGTGTGAATGGCTATAGCTCTTCTAATATTAATATAATAGAATATTGTTGTATGGAATCATTCATATTATGAGACAAAATGCTTAAATCAGATTACCTCAACATTTGCTTTGGCTCTACCATTATATTCTTCCTGGATGGCATAATACTTTTTTTTTTGTCTTCACAAAATATATTTTTGTTGTGAAATATTTACTGATTTTGGCTATATAAATGTCATTTTTTGCGCAGTTTTGGCCCTCTGAATAAAACAAATATTTTTTCCTTCTGTGAGCTCCGTATTTCTCAGTGTCATACTACGTGAGCCATAAAGCCTAATGTATCCAAAACATTTTTATTTTATATATATTTTTTGTAAAGATTCAGTGAACTGGATTTTCATTTTAGGGGGGCTCAGCCTCTAATGAGGGTATAATTATATATATATATATATATATATATA